ACAGTAAAAAAAAGCAGGCAGAAATAGAGTCATAGAATCATAGAATCAAATAAAATCAACTCATTCAAGATGTGGTGCTGGAGAAGAGTGCTGGAGATACCGTGGATGGCCAAGAAGGCAAACAAATGGGTCCTAGAACATGTCAAGCTTGAACTCTTCCTGGAAGCCAAGATGACTAAACTGATGTTGAATTCAAAGATATAGCCATGTTAGTCTGTAGAAACTGGATTTGCCACTTCATCTCCATGCACACAGGCTATCTTACAATGCCTTTGTTCACAAACAACCATAGTTAAAACTGTGCTTGCCACTTCATTTCCCTACACAAAGGATTTTGATTTTGAATTGACATTCTCACATACTAATGGCATATATATATATATATATATATATATATATATATGTCTGTCCCTAGCTTAACACTCCACCAAATGCATCTGAGGAAGTAGGCTTAAGTCTACGAAAGCTCATGCTGCCAACTTCTTTCTTTAGTTAGTCTCAAAGGTGCCACAAGATCTCTCTATAAACTGAGTTTGTCATACTTTGGCACACTGTGAGAAGGAAAGACTCATTAGAAAAGGCAGTGATGTTAGGAAAAGTGGAAGGAAGCAGAAAGAGGGGAAGACCATAAGCCAGATGGCTAGGCTCAATCCAGGAAATCATGGGCCTGAACATGCAGGATCTGAGAAGAGAGGACAGGGGGGTCTTGGAGAGGTCTCATCTATCTACAGCAGGGGTAGGCAACCTTTCCCCTTTAAGGGCCGAGGGACTTCAGCTCCCAGAATCCCAGGAGCTATTGGCCAACATGGGACTGTTGGCCAACATGGCTGAGGCTTCTGGGAGCTGAAGTCACTCCGCCCTTAAAGGGGAAAGGTTGCCTACCCCTGATCTACAGGGATGCCATAATTTGAGCTCAACTCAAGGGCAGCTAACAACAACAATACAGGATCACTAACACTGTGTATGTTAAACATCGAGGGATAGCCATGTTGGCCATATAGCAAATCCAATAACATAAAAAAAAAAACCAAACACCAAACAGTGATACTTTCTTGTGCCAGCCAAAATGCACAATATACATGTTGCAAGCTTTCGAAGCTGCACCGGCTTCTTCCTCAGGCAAGGTGTTAAAAACCATACAGGACAAAAAAATATATATATGAAGATGTTAGTCATAAGCCTGCATTTTTATGTTTTTGTTCTCAGTTCAGATGGTATGGAGGGGTATCTCTTGCAGGATGGCACTTCCTTCTTCTGGCCTTGTGACTAAGGGGAGATTCTCAAAGTCTAGGACAGGGGTAGGCAACTTTTTTGAGACGTGGGCTGGGTTGCTGTCCCTCAGACAATCGGGGGGCCGAAGCACCAAAAATAAATAAATAAATAAATAAATAAATATAAAAATAATTTTTTAAAAAATAAAAAATATATGCATGCACACTCTCTCAGCCCCAGAAAAGCCATGGTAAAACCCCTGTGGAGATTTTGCCAAGGAAACCCCAAGAACAAGTAATAACAACAATAATCAATATCATCATGGCGGCGGCGGCAGGACCAGCTTGGGGCCGGTCCAAAGGCCTCGGGGGGCCGCATCCAGCCCCCGGGCCTTAGGTTGCCTACCCCTTGTCTAGGAGATTTAACATTTATTTGCAACACAAAAAGATCCTTCCTTTCCAATCCAGTATGTCTCCATCCTTTGTGAGGCCATAGGGTCCTTTGTTAGGCAGAGGACACTGAACTTCTCAAGAAGTCTTCATGCTTTTGCATCAGGAAAACTTTTGAGGTAAAACATTCCAATGCATTGTGTGTCTCCAAGTCATTTCTGATTTATGGTAACCCTAAGGTGAACCTATAATGGGGTTTTCTTGGCAAGATTTGTTTAGTTAGGTTTGCCATTGCCGTGCAAAATAAAAAAAGAGAGAAGTAGATGTATGTAAACCACTCTGAGAGCCTTTGTGACTGAAGAGTAGTGTATAAATGCTATTTTTTTTTTTAAAAAAAATCCCAATAACAGGAACTGTGTTTTGCTGAATTTTCTACTGAAAAAAGTGGTGGAAGTAGTAGAACAACAAAAGCAGTTGACCAAACCTATTAAAATTGGGGGAATGATCCTGATTTTTTTCCATCTCTTGTCTTTGCAGGTAATAGTTCATTCCTTTAAGATCCCAATCCATGAGATCAGGTTATCTAACAATCCTATTACTAGTTTTTTGTGGGTTTTTCGGGCTGTGTGGCCATGTTCTAGATTAGTTTCTTTCTGATGTTTCGCCAGCATCTGTGGCTGGCATCAAGAAACTCTTCTAGAACATGGCCACACAGCCTAAAAAAACCCACAAAAAACTATGGATGCCGGCCATGAAAGCCTCCGACTTCACAATCCTATTACTATCTGCTACAGGCTCAAAATGAAAGCTGTACTGATTATAGCTACATTGCATTGCAAATACTATACCTGCTGTCCATGATGAAATGCATGTTTTCTGCAGAGGCTTGGCAACTATAAAAGGATTTCAGTGAATTTCTAATTACTTTTGACAAAAGCAAACCAGAGATTTCTGCTGTGTGCCTTCAAGTGATTTCCAACTCATGGCGACCCTAAAGTAAGCCTATCATGGGGTTTTCTTGGCAAGATTTGTTTGGACAAGGTTTGCCACCCTTCCAGAGGCTGAGAGAGTGTGACTTTCCCAAGGTCACCCAATGGGTTTCATGGCAGAGCAGGGTCTCGAACCCTGGTCTCCAGAGTTGTAGTCCAATACTCAAACCACTACGCCATGCTGATTGGAGAGTGCATCTACACTGTGGAGATAATGCAGTCTGACACCACTTTAACTGCCATGACTCCATCCTACAGAATCATGGGATTTGTAGTTTTGTGAGGCACCAGCACTCTTTGGCAGAGGAGGCTAGAGACCTTGTAAAAGTACAAATCCCAGAATTCCATAGGCTGGAACCTCAGCATTTAAAGTGGTGTCAAACTCAGGGTGACCAGATGTCCAAACCTCAAAGGAGGACAAAGCACCGCAAAATGTAAGACATGCAAGAAAAATGTAGGACATTCCAAAAATAAAAAAAAAACTGGAAACACTCCAAAATAAAAAACTGAAAACACTCATATAAATTTTAATCCATGCTTCTTAGAGATGCTCAAAATGGAGGACATTTTGGAATTCCTCCTGGGCAGAAGGCTGGAATGTAGGACGCGTCCTGGAAAAGGAGGACGCCTGGCCACCCTATGTCAAAACTGCATGATTTCTACAGTGTAGATGAGGCTGAGAAGGAGAGAGCCAGACCCAAGCAATCAACTGCAGAGACGTCGCCTCATCGGTCGGTGATTACTTTGGCCTGAATGTTGGGAGTTCGTTGACTAGCGTTGTCTTGCTTTCGGTGCCACCCGCCTGGCAGCCGCAGTGGCGAACGGCCCTTTGGAACGGCTGCGCATGACCCTCGGAGGGAGCCGTAGCGACGTGAATTCTGACGCTTCTGCCGGAAGGAGCGCTGGATTTGGACCACGTGGGTGGGACCTGGGGCTGTTCTTGTGCGCTTTTGTGCCGGAGGGAGATGCCTGGCTGCGGTAAGGAAGCCGAGTAGGCGCCGCAGCAGTCCTTGGAGCCCCCTGTTTCGACCGCTCTGCTTTTACTTCAAGGTGCTGGCCAGAGATTTGCAATTCCTTACAGAGCAATTATTATAGTATTTTATATATATGTATATGTGTATACATGTGTATGCATGTGTATATATGTGTGTGTG